GATGGCGAGAAAGATGCGTCGCACAACGGCCGATTGGATGAGCGGAGTCGCGGCCTCCGAGTCAACTTGGCCGGGATTCGGCGGCAGACCGCAGGCCAAATAAGTGATCTCGTCGGGTGAGTTGATCTCGAGGGCGTCAAGGCGATCCGAGTTGCTGTGCAGTCCGAGACGTGTCGGCAGGACGGCCTGCAGCGTCAGGTGGATGGTAGTCATGGCGTGCGGTGCGTCCCAGGTCTGCTCGTGGCGGGCAGTCTCGTGCCAGTACAGACTGTCGTAGACGACGTGGAGTCGCGAGCCCTCAGCGTGACCCTCGCAGGTGACTCGGACGGCGTCGCCGACGGCCAAGTAGTGCACGATGCTGGCTTCGGCCGGCTCGAGGCTCTGCTGTAGATGTTGTCGTCGGTGCAACAGCGACCAGGTCTCCAGGTCGAACGGGTTGCGTGGATACGTCCATGGCAACGTGAGGTTCTCGTGCTCCAGCGCTCGGTCGACGCTCGCCTCGAGCGCCAGCGTCGCCGACACCGGATCGGGCAGATCGGCCTCGAAGATGTCGCAAACATGTCGGCTGCTCAGACCGCCCCATTTGGTCAGCTGCAACGGGTCGTCGGGTCGTCTGGCCAAATCACGACGTCCGGCGTCCGTGAAGATGCGCACATCGTCGCTGGTCAGTTTGTTGAGTCCGTGTTGCAACGCCAACCATTCGAGATGCTGACGCGAGTCGCGATTCACCGTCGGACGAGCCGGTTTCGGCGCGACTCGAGCCTGCGACCGCTTGCGCTGCAATCGTTCGGCCTGCGAGAGGAGAGGACCACGACGCGTCAGATGGTGCACCATGTGGAAGGCGTGTTTGGTGCCCATCTCGACACCGACACTCCAAAAGGCCGCGGGGATGTGGGAGATTTTGTGATGCGCCTCCATCCAACGCAGCGCCTCCAATTCACGCGCCTCTTCACCGACCTCTCGCGCCGTCGACGCTGACGACCAATGCGGCCGCCACTCGAGCGTCTGCTCCACATCCTCCGGCTCTGCTGCTTCTTCCGTCTCTTCTACCTCTTCTGCCTCTTCTGTTTCTTCTGCCGACTCTGGCCTCTTGGACGAACCGACTTCGAGACCCGCATGGCTGTGCTGGCGCACCTCGGCCGGATGGTAGACGGCGATCGGCTCGGTCAGGTTGATCAACAACGTGGCGTCGATCTCTTCGCCCTGCAGGTAGGCTGTGAACTCGAGCACGGTAGTTCGCGTCGGACGACGCATGCGCAGTCGTCTTCGATAGTTGTGCTGCACCAATACTCCGTCGCCAAGGCTCGTTGCCGCCTCAGAGGGCGTCGACGTTGACGTTGACGTCGACGTTGACGCTGGCGTTGACGTCGACGTTGGCGTTGGCATTGGTGCTACTGATTTGGCCGGCAGTGGAAGCCATTGGTGCGAGGGTTTTGAGGAGCGAGAGGTGCACTCGACACGCACGACAATGTCGGCGCCATGCAGTTGCATGGAAAGCCGAAGAGCGAGTAGCACGGACCGGTTGGTGAAGTGAGTCCAGGCGAGCATGTTCTGGTAGGCGATATCGCGAGTCTCGATCGTGCTGAGATGACGTGATCTCGGCTGGTAGGCGAGCAACGGTTGCCTATTAACGTAGACCACGATCTGTTGGTCCAAGTGAAACTGGGTGGCCGGCCAGGAGAAGCGAGTGTCGCCGTGCTCGATGTAGTCGCGATGGCCGCGAGTATGCAGATGATGGCAGGCTTTGGTCTCGGGCCCCAGATCCTCTGAGACGTCGTGCTGTTGTCGAGGTGAGTAGTTTGATGTGATAGGGTGTGATGGAGTAGTAGGTAGCAGAACGGTTGGAGGAGGAGGAGAAAAAAGAAAAAAAAGAGTATGAATGAAAGAGAAAAATTAAGTGGGTTAGAAGGACGGAAAGATGGATGGGTGAAGAGAGTGGAGTAAGAAGAACAGGGGAAGGAAAAAAGTGGGATTTAAAAAGTAAGAGTAAGAAGAGGGGAAAGAAGAGAAAGAAAAAAGAACAGAGGGAATGGAGGAAGGAGAAAAAATAAAACAAAAATGAGGAAAAACGAGAAAGTTGAAAAATAGATAAGAGAAGGAGAGATAGAGAGGAAAGAGTAAATAGGGAAAAGAGAGAATGGGAATAAAAAAATTGTAAGGAAGTGAGAAGAGAGGATATAGGAGAAAGAATGAAGAAGAAAGGGTGGAGTAAGAAGCATGTAGTATGGAAGAAGAATGAAGGAATGAAGAAAGGATGGAGGAAAAAGTAGTATAAAGGGAGGAGGGAAAGGAGAAAATGGTTGAGTAAGAGGGACTGATGAAGTAAAAACAAGACAAGACAAAGGAGAAAGGAAGGAAAAAAGAAAGAAAAAAGTAAAAAAATTAGAAGATGGCATTGAGGAAGGAGAGGTAAGAATTGAAGGGTGAGAGAGAGAATAAAAGTGGATGGATTAAGAAAGAAGTAGATCAAAGAGGGAAGAGAGCAGAAAGGATGAAGGATGTAGGTTAAAGGAAGACAAGAAGAGAAAAAGGAGAAGAGACAGCATTAAGGAGGCAGGAGGGAGAAAGGAGAAAATGGGGGAGAAAGAGGGACTGATGAAGTAAAAACAAGACAAGACAAGACAAAGGAGAGACGGAGAAATAAGAGATAAGTAAAATAATTAGAAGATAGCATTGAGGAAGTAGAGGTAATAATTGAAGGGTGAGAGAGCGAATGAAAGTGGATCCAGGAGGGAAGAGAGCAGAAAGGAGAGGATGTATGTGACTTACGTGTGAGGGCAGGAGTGGTTTGACGCAGATGCGAATGTAGAACCAGCGGTTGGGCAGAAAGTGTACCGTCAACGGAGGCAGCGTTTCGACGATGAACTCGAGCGGGGTCTCGGGATCGAGAAAGTCGTTTTGGTGATCAATCGCGAACTCGCGCTTCTCTCTTCTCGTCTCGAGACGACCACTTCGGTTGCCCGTTCGAGCACGCAAATAGCGCACCACCTCGACAGCCTCTTTGTTGCGGAAGAAGTCGTTGAGTCGCTGGCTCGCCTCAGAATGCCGACCCAAAAGATGGTACAGCGAGTGGTTCAGCTTCTGCGGCGTCACTCGCCTCGGCCCATCCAACGGCGCCTCGAGACCGTCTCGACTGGACAAGTCCGGCCGATGCGCCAGCGTCGTCATGACGACCAATGTCAAGAGGAATCGCAGACAAAGCGGCGGGTTGAAGAGGAGCACAAGAGCCGGCTTCAAGGGCAACATGTCGCCGAGACAGAAAATCCGAAATGGCGCAGGCGGGACGTGGCACAGTTTGAAGCAGACCGGCAGGTCGATAAGCACAACGTCCAAACTGGTCCGGCCATCTTCACACTCTCATGCCACTCGACCATTCAACACGGACGCCCACATTAAAAACTACCCAACGATACGCTTTTCACTCTCTCCTCACTCTCCTCAGAAGCTTTGCTCACTCACTTTCGACTCCTTTTCGTTCCTCCTTTCCTCCTCCTTCGACTATTTTCAGTCACTCTATTCTCCCACTCTCTCCCGGCCCT